TCTCTCTCTCTCTCCCTCTCTCTCTCTCTCTGTGTGTGTGTGTGTGTGTGTGTGTGTTCAAACCATAAAGCCGAGGCAACAGAACGTCAATCTGATCCTGAACCACTGACAGCGATGTGTCAACAAACAGGACACTTCCCATACGACATTCTGCACGTAACTGTAGTTGTATCTAGAGCCAGCAAGTTTCGAGGGCTGAGACAACTGGAGTCAGTTTGCTCCCTGGGGACAGACTTTAGACAAGTAAAAGAAGAAGAAGAAGAAAAAGCTCCAAAAAGATAAGAAAAAAGATACCTAATAAAAGACAAGAAAAGGAAAATGAGAAGAGGAAAGAGTACAAAAAAGAAACGGATGAAAAAAAAGCAAAAGAAGAAGAAAAGACACCCGAAAAGAAAAAAAAAGAAAAAAAAGAAAAAAAAGAAGAAACAGTATTAAAAAAATGGTGAGAAGTCTAAAGTATACGCCCTATTATGCCTCCGGTGGACTGATCACCATGTTGGCGTAGTTCTGAGTTTGCTACAGTTCTCCTGGTTCTCTTTTCATATTCCCCGTCACATTTTGGGCTTCGTTCCACAGCAGCATTCGTCAGAGGCACACGCACAGCTTTGGGGCTGCAACAAAGCCGAGAACATGGTTCTTTTTGCCACCTTTCAGAGAGCAAGTCATTTTCCGCTTCGTTCCCCAGCATCATTAACTGTACTTGTCCAATCACCAAGTCCACACCTTGTAAAATATTTCTGTTCCTCACATTCTTAAACAATACTGTTCATCGCCTTCTAAAACGCTTCCATTCATAACCCACTAAAGCTTTGATGTTTCACAGACAGATGTGCTCTCCCTTACCTGTCAGCTACTTTACCAAAGTATTATATGTGCACGTATTATATGCACAACAAAACAAGACCCATTCCAAATTATAGGGAACGATCTAGATAAGCCTAAGATTGCACTCGCCTTTGATGGAGATAGACACTATAGTTGTTCCCTGCTGCAACAATACGTCAGTAAAAATTACTTGACACTGCATATTATTATACTGTGTATGCTGTAAATACTGACTTGATGCTTGATATGAAAAATACAAAATGCCTACACAAATGCAGCTCAATCATCATGCTTGCACCTCCGCCATTGACACACATTGCGCGACGAGAAGACAAGTTCTCCGATTCATTGTCTCCCCTAGCGCTTCAAAACACACCTGATTGTTTCTTGCCGCCCTTCCTAATGAGAATTTGACACCAAAAACGTATAAAATGGGACAGATCGGAAGGGGAAACACTGTCTCAGCTGACTCTCTCAAATCGCCGTCACGAAGATAGAAGCAGAAGCAGATTTGTGAGTATGGGTTAACTAATACATGCACGTCACTTTAGTTTTTGTCTTCTTGTACCCCAAGGTGTCGAGGGGAGATGCAATTGTAGGACGTGGGCCAGGTACGTTTGCTTTTGAATCATCATGTTGTTGCTTTGGAGGGTTACTTTGACTCCTTCGATCCATCATTGTCTTGGTCTTTCTATTGCTTTAAAGCCATCGAAAATATTGTAAGCCCAGAGGCTGGCTACTTTGGTTCCATTCTCATGACGAGTCCAAAACACAAATTTGTTGTCTTTTGGAGAAATTGATGCTCGATTCGACGCCCACTTGTTGTCTGTTGTCTTCGTTTCTTTATCTGTCTATTCTCGTCATGTTTAGCGCTTTCCTAAAGCATGGATGATATCAACAGTTTATATCCGATCTATGTTTAATTTAAGACCAACTTGTAGCCGAGACTCGAACTCCAAACGCTTTATTTAGAGTTTACACTTCTTCCAAAACCTCGAAGGGAGCAATCCTTTCACCAGCTGGTTTTGTGGTATAACTTTTTTTCAAGAATGCTTATGGAGCACCAAAGAGCTTCTGTCCCATTCAGAACTTAAGTTGGCCCAGTGCACTCACAAATTATAACAAATAATAGTACCTGTAATTACATCTATATAGCACATATCCACACTCTACGGCATGCTCTATGCGCTTTACAACCATTGTTTCCACAGCAGACCCTAGAACATTCAGAAACATTCTCTGCTTCCCAGGAAGCACACATAGTGTGTGTGTGTGTGTGTGTGTGTGTGTGTGTGTGTGTGTGTGTGTGTGTGTGTGTGTGTGTGTGTGTGTGTGAGAGAGGGTATCTATGTGTGCGTCTGTGTGTATGCATGTTAGTATGTTATTAGAATGCCTGCCGCACCCTATTTATGCATTCATCAGCCATCAACAACAGCATATTTCTTGGGTTGTGTTCCCACAGGCAGAATTCTCCGATCAAGATGAACGCCAAGATGTTACTGCTGGGTCTGTTTATGACCCTTGTGGTGTTCAATCTAGTGTCCGAGGCACAGGGGCAGGGAGCAGAAGGGGTGGAAGGAGAGGGGCTGGAGGTCCCCAGTGAGGCGGAGATCGAGGAGACTATAGGAGAAGCTTTGTCGGAGGTGAGTACCGTGCGTACCTCTGTGTTTGTGTTTGGGTCCCCCCTCCGCCGTCTCGGTCTCTCTGTGTGTTTCCAACTCTTTATTTCTCTCTTTACCTGTCTGTTTGTCTGTTTGTCTGTCTGCCCCCCCCTCTTTCTTTCTCCCCCTCTCTCCCCCTCTCTCTCTCTCTCTCTCTCTCTCTCTCTCTCTCTCTCTCTCTCTCGCTCGCTGGCTTCCCAAGCCCCCATATGTGTGTACCTGAGTGCGTATGTGTCTGATTGTGTACGTGTGTATATATATATATATATATATATATATATATATATATATATATATATATATATATATATATATATATATATATATATGTGTGTGTGTGTGTGTGTGTGTGTGTGTGTGTGTGTGTGTGTGTGTGTGTGCGCGCGTGTGTGTGCTTGTATGGTTAACTTACACTTATCCATTTTACTATTTTAATTATTGTGGCTTTTTCCCGCACTGATGTTTACATAACAGCTGGCCAACGAGCCGGGCCTGAGTGTGGCAAAGCGAGGCTGGTTGAAAAAGAAGACTAAGAAGGTTTGGAGGAAAGTTAAGCCCATTGCGAAACAAGTCTTGATCCATATCCTCAAAAACATGGCCCAGGGCAAACGAAGCATGGAGTGATTGGTGAGTTGTGTTTGTTATCCAGCGTGTATTCATCATCATCATCATCATCATCATCATCATCATCATCATCATCATCATCATCAGGGGGCTCATGTGGCCTAGGGGTCAAGGTGTTCGCCTCTCACTTGAAGGTTTCGAATCCGAGGGGTGATGGGAAAATTTTATTCTCTAATAGTCTCCTTTGGCATCCTTTCCTGCTCTCTAGCAGTGTTCTGTCGCCTACTTTCGTCTCCACTTTCTGCCCTCCATCCCCCCCCACCCTCTTTGCCCCCTCCTCTGGGCTCCTGGCTCTTTCTGCAGCCATTCTGCTGCTACTCCTCGACTCCTTCTTACTGCAGTCTTTCAGCCACATCCCTGATCTTCTAGTAGGAAAGAACTACCCCTAGCCTTCTCGGACAAGGGCGAAAAATCTTGGAGGTTCCGTGTGCAAATTGCGCACGTTAAAAATCCTTTGGTGGTCTAAAATCGATAAGAGTAGGCTTCGGTCGCCACCCGGGCAAAATTCAAAATGTCCTACCAACTGAAAATGTTTAATGTGTCCCGCACGCTCATATGACCTTATGCAATTGCGAGGGCCGTAAAACACTTACAACTTACCCTCATCATCATCATCATCATCATCATCATCATCATCATCATCATCATCATCATCATAGTGCCTAACGTATCTGATAGATCGGCTCATAAAAATCACCAAACCATGGGCTCCCTACCATAAACCCTATCAGCTGCCCTTTTCTTTACGTCTCTCTTTCTCGCTCTCTCCCTCTCTCTCTCTCTCTCTCTCTCTCTCTCTCTCTCTCTCTCTCTCTCTCTCTCTCTCTCTCTCTTCCTCTCCCTTTCCCCCTCCATCTCCCTGTCTCTGTCTATCTCTGTCTGTCTGTCTGTCTGTCTGTCTGTCTGTCTGTCTGTCTGTCTGTCTGTCTGTCTGTCTGTCTGTCTGTCTGTCTGTCTGTCTCTCCCTCCCTCCCTCTGCCACTTTCTCTCACCCTCTCTCCCTCTCTATCTGTCTATATCTCTCTCTTTCTTTTTCTGTTTGTCTGTCTGTCTGTTTACCCTCTCCCTCCCTCTCTTTCTCTCTTGGTTTCTCTTCCTCCATTCATGAAGCCCCCCCCCCCCCATTCTCTCTCTCTCTCTCTCTCTCTCTCTCTCTCTCTCTCTCTCTCTCTCTCTATCTATCTATCTATCTATCTATCTATCTATCTATCTATCTATTCAGTAAGAAGCACCAGCAAACAAGTCAAACAATCTCTCCCACAACTCCCCAGGTTTCCACAAGACCACCAAAGATTCCTTCTGTCTGTCTGTGATGTATCTCTCTCTCTCTGGTCCCTTTTCTAGAGGAAACATCGATATTAAATTTTCTTTGAAAAAAGATATGACACGGCTTCATGTTCTTTTGTTTCTATTGTTTTTGTTGCTATTGATGGTGCTGTAGTCAACGACGACAACGACGACAACGACGATGACGGCGATGATGATGATGATGATGATGATGATGATGATGATGATGATGATGATGATGATGATGATGATGATGGTGATGATGGTGATGATGACGATGATGATGATGATGATGTTTGTTGGGTACCGTATCCCCTTTTTAAAGGTGTAAGTGTCATCATGATGTTAAAACAAAATTGGTATCATAATTTTAGTTATATCAAAAGTTACTGAAAGTTTTGTTTCTCTTAGAATATATTTCAGATTAAAAAACAAAACAATGTTTGCTGCCACGAATTAACGATGGCATGTTTGACCATGTTAGTGGCGATAACGTAGAGGATGTGTAAACCTTACTGGAATTCTTCTGCTTTTGTAACTCCCGCTACTGCCATTGCCAAAAATCTCGTCCACCAGTAATTTACTTTCACAACTGCTACTAGATCTAGTCCAATTTCGGTAAAACCCTGGTCTCATTTTGCTACTGAATAACAACCCAAAAGAACCTTAAACCCCCCCCCCCAAAAAAAAAACAACAAAACAACAAACCCAGACTACAAAGTGAAAAGACGACCACGAAACACTTGGCTGGAAGGCGGCGTCAAAGAGAACAGAATGACACAGTCATCAACAACTGAAGGTACTCATCTAGCCGCTGACGGAAAATTAATTTACCTGGCCTCGACATCTAACGATACAAGAGGCTGGAAAGAAGAAGAGTAAAAATGTGATAAAAGCGAGAGAAATTTTGCCGCCGTCCTAAAGAGTCAATCTCAGAGAATCTGATAGGGTTGTACATTTTTTAAAATGTACATATTATGTATTTTAACGCCACCATCGATGCAACTTAGATTATTTAGGAGGCGGGCATCCGATCCTGCTTTTCAGGATCAACCCGGGCTGAGTGGGATACAACAACCCAGCAGACAGACCCAGATATTTGTTAAAAATTCTCCCTACTCGGGAATCGAACAAGTGTCTCATGCGTACATAGACACTAGTAACCGGTTGGGAGAAGAGTGTGCTGAGGATGTGAGGGGGGAGGGGATAGAGATCACACTATGCGCATGATATGGCAGATGTATTGTTTTATTTATCGTTATTATTTATAACACTCCCCTGTCTCTCGCTGAGAATATGATAAGAAAGGGAAGGGGAAGAAAGGGAAGGGGGGAAAAAAGGGGGAGGGTGGTGGTGAAGACACTGCGTTTTATAGCGACGCTACAAAAATGTGAAATTGACGATGTATGCTCCTTTTATGACCTACTCTGTCATGAAAAAGGGGTAAAGTTCAAACGAAGCTCTAAAGACTAAGTCAACAAACCGGATTTGCGGGTGGTTGTTGTCGGGTGCTCTGATCTGGTTTGCTACTTCTTTCCTATAAAACATTTAAATCGATTGTCCTTTTATTTTTATAATCGTTTCATTCCTTTTTTTGGGTATTTTACTCTCAAGTAACACCCCTAGTAACAACTCACGGCATCACCCTGACCCAAGCTCTCCGGCTGGCGACAGAGAGACGTCTCTTTCTTCCCACGACACCCCAAAGGGTATAAGCGGCGTATAAAAGTAAAGTAACACCCCTGATCTTCGGTGCTTATATGACCTATTCATGTTGCACGCGCAGTAAAACTCTTACTATAACTAAAAACTCAACAAAACTGGACGCGAACGCCCCCCACACACGTGCCGCCCACAGGCATGTTGCGGTTACATACTTCCGTGTGATGACGTCACAGTGGTCATCCATCACCATGAACTTAAAGCATGACGGGCATGTCCTCATGAGTAAGCGCGACGATTGGTCGGCATGGGGTGACCTAGAGATCACAGCGGGTTTGGGGGTAGAGAGGGTGGAAAGGGCGGGATGGGGTCGGGGAGGATTGGGAAAACGGAGAAAGGCGATTGACAGGAACTATGATGTCATGTGTGCGAGCCCTATGATGTCATGTGTGCGAGCCAGGGCTTGGCCTGGGTTCATATGAGGATAACCTGGCAACATTTGAGCCTGGTTTTGGAACCAAGTGTTATTAATAGAGCAGTGACGTCAGTTGTCTTGGGATGTGAGTCTCAATATGGAAGCACTCGATCGGACTCGTCGTGCTAACTATAATGTGGTCAAAAATTCGTGGCGCACCTTGTCCTCAAATATCTTTTTAACGGGTCGAATCAATGTCACCCATACTTTGCACAGCAGTTTGTCTTAATTTGTCGTAACGTAATAATTTTCCACAGCAATGGAAGCTAGATTGAAAAACTTTTTTTCATAAATTTATATAAAATTATACAAATCTCCTTCACGCAAACAATGGAATTGTTCATTGCACTTCCCGCTTCTCACACACATTTTGTATAGGCCTACGTATATGGGTTACATCACCGCTCACCAAAGATATTTTTTTGTGTCAAAAATAGTTACAAGAATTAATGTTATAGTGAACACTTTTTTGCATTAAAAGTTCTCTAAACATGAGTTCAATAAAAATAATCTCGCGATAAGAAAGAACAAAAATGACAGAATTGCTTTTAAAAACAATATCGTCCCAGCTATAAACCTTTTAAAATCAGTAGAAACCATCCACTAGGATTTTTTATTAGTATTTATTAAGACATTTTTTAGAATAGAGCTAACAGGTCTTATTGATCTGAAAAGACAAATAGATACAAGTCACTGTGCAAAAGCTGGAGAGCTTATGTTCGATAGTTGGGGAGATATTTGACAATAAGTTGCGCCACGAATTTTTGACCGCACTATAGGTGCGAGGTGCAAAGGCGAATCTGTCACTGATAGCTAAATAATATTAATAATATACCGATAACCCTGTCATCTGATCTGTCACTCGGTGATTTTGTAAACCTGAGCCTACATCTTGACACCAACCTAATTAGCGCCCCCATGCCCCCCCCCCCTCTCTCTCTCTCTCTCTCTCTCTCTCTCTCTCTCTCTCTCTCTTTCTCTCTCTTGTGTGTGTGTCTCTCTCTATACGTATATATATCCCTCTCTCTCTCTCTTTCATTTCCTCCTCTATACACACTTCGACTCCTCAGTTCCTCTCTGGCACATTTTATTTTATTTGCCTCTATTGAGTGTGCTTGGTTCTTAGTGGTGCAGTGGGTAACACGCTTGTCTTGTACTCCAGTGGTCCCGTATTTGATTTTTCCCTTGACTCGTGGAATTCTAGCTTTTCGGGAGGATCTTGCTCTGACGAAGCTTTTACATGTGTGCTCCCAAACAAATAACCAAAAAGAAGATGAAAAGCATCTCACAGATGACAGGCCTCAAAGTGCGTCCTGACAAACTCAAGATCTAAAAGATCAACACCATCATCAATGATCAGATTACCATCGAGGAAACACCACAACAAAAAGTTGATTCCTTCCTTTACTAAAGTAGCATTACAGACAAGGTTGGAGAAGCAGATGCAGATGTAAAGACAAGAATAGACAAGGCAAGAGGTGCTTTCCCAAAACTAAGAAAAGTATGGAAATCAGGAATTATAGAACTAGAACCAAGCCAAGGAGTTTCAACACCAGTGCCAGATGTGTGGTAGTTTACAAATCGGAAACTTGGGAGTTTACAAAACAAACTTCTAAAAGGGTATAGGTATTTGTCAACAGCAGCTAAGAAGAATAAAAACAAAAAGAAAATTCACAGGCCTGATATCATATATATGTATACCAAAATAATACCACCTCCCCCTCCTCTTTCCTTTCTCCAGAGCCAAACAATTAAAAAAAAACTACACACACACAGAAACACACACACACACACACACACACACACACACACACACACACACACACACACACGCACACATACAGAGAGAGAGAGAGAGAGAGAGAGAGAGAGAGAGAGAGAGAGACAGAGACAGAGAGAGAGAGAGAGAGAGAGAGAGAGAGAGAGAGAGAGAGAGAGAGAGAGAGAGAGAGAGAGAGAGAGAGAGAGAGAGAGAGAAAGACTTAAGGTACTACATTAGTAAAATATATTTTTTCTACATCGCTTCAGTAGAAAAACTAGTGGTATGGATAAGAAATGTGGATGAATAGAGAGAACCTCCCGGCCATATATAATTAACATAAAAAAACTGGGCCAAACGTGAATGTGTCAAAGTAATTACAATTTGGCAAATGGGCTTGCCTGGACATAGGGAACAGCAGATGTTACATTCTCCCCCTATCCCTCAACCCTTCCCCCTTACCCCTTCCCATTCCCAGGAACAACTTCCTCAACAAACGTGCGTGTCTGTCAAACAGATGCCCATTGGTCAAATAAACACAATCTGCAAGAGCTAATTTGATCGGATCAGGTCAGGTCGTGTTGGGAGATGGTGTTGTGTAATGCACACTATGTCTAAGTCTAATAAATATTTACCTTACTGTGCAGACTCTGTTAATCAATCTTTGCTTTTTTTTATTGGGAACCCTATATCTAATAAATATTTGCTGCGTTGTTTTGTTGCGTGTAGTCTATCTAAAATATCTTTGCTTTACTTCTTTAAATCTGACTAGGTCCGTAAGGGCCTGTCTCATTCTACACAAAACCAAAAAATCGGCTCCACGATGTCATCTCGCATGTGATGTCTTTTCAGTTTGCTGATGGCCACGATGTTCATCATACGTAACCGATCGTGACCTAGAAACTCAAACATGTTTGATTTGGGAGGATTTGATCAAAATTTGCCAAAATGATAACTTTGCTTATTCATGAAGGAAGATCTGGCACCCCTAAAAATAATGTATCAAACCAGATCAAATAGAAGTGGAACGAAACTTTGTGCAGTGTGCACTGTGTATCACCCACCATCCAGCCGGATCAAACCTTCTGTCATGTATGTCCAGTATGGATGACCAGTGACGTCACCACAGAACGACGTGTGAATTGTGTTAATGACGTGTTTTGACCAACATCCTCCCGGTGGACCCGGAAGAAAACATGTCTGATCTATATAAACCTGTCACGTCCGCCCCGCGCCAGGACTTGTAGCTTCTCGTTAACTGGACATTTCATTAAGTAGTGGTAGTGAAAATTGGAAGGAACTTTTGAAACTATAGAACAGAAAGAAAAATAATAATCTTCAATAAAACGAACGACACTGAAAGATTTTTGAAAGCACACAGTAACAAGAAACTTTCGTAAACTGACAAACTAACTTACGCAACAGAATTGAAAATTCCCCATCAAATAAAAAAGCAATAGAAAACTGTAAGCCGAAGCACTGAAAAGTCTAAAAGAGTCATCCAAACTGGTCGTTGATCACCACAGACCTCAGCACATCATTCAGACGGAGAGTGTTGTGCAAAGAAAAGCAATCTTCCGCAGAGTACACGCAAGTGGGTTGTGAAAAAGGATAAAATTTTCAACCAGCCGACTCCGGAAGGTATGTATTTATACAACGACTGGGAGCTTTTGTTCTTTGTTCTCATTACTAAGAACATAATAGGCGCACGTCTGGGCGATCCTTTCCATTTGTAATTTTGGTCAGGCAGGGGCGTACAAGCCATGGAAAGGCATTGGACTTACGACGAAAGAAGTTAATTCAATTCCCCGGCCTATTGAAAGACACTGTGGCCCAGGGAAAGACGTATTACATTTTTTTATTTCTTCCAACAGCAAATGGGTACTTGGAAACAGAGAGGGGTGGATTATGTGAATGATAGGGGGACGCGTCTAACGGGTGGAGACGCTGTATGCCCCAGTGGGACAGAAACTGTGATCTGGAACGAACAGTCCGACCAATAAAGTTCTAGTACAAATATGTGATTATTGATGGGATGCAAGGTTGTACAAATACTCATCATCATCATCATCATCATCATCATCATCATCATCATCATCATCATCATCAGTGCCTTTCTCATCTTGGATCAGGGTAGAGGCCACGAACAAACTTTTTTACATTTTCCTTTCCCAGGCTCGCCTCCTGATATTGTTCCATGTATTTCCTATTTTATACACGTACCTCCAGTACTCTAACTCTCCACCAAGTTCCCCCACTGTAGGTAGGTGAGCCGGTGAATTATGAAAACTACAAGCTCTAGCTCGTATATTATCTTAATATGTTTTGTCCTCCAGCCCTTTCGTTAGCTCGGGTTATTCAGGGAGGGGTGGTAAACAGGGGCGGATGGTGAACAGATGAACAGGGAGGGGTGGTGAACAGGGATTGATGGTAAACTGCGAAGGATGGTGCACACGTGAACAGGTGAAAGGTGAATAGAGAAGGGGTGGTGAATAGGGAGAGGTGGGGAATAGGGAGGGTTGATGAACGGTGAATAGGGAGGGGGTGGTGAATAGGGAGGGGTGGTGAACGGTGGATTGGGAGGGGTGGTGAACGGTGAATTGGGAGGGGTGAATGAATAGGGAGGGGTGGTGAATAGGGAGGGGTGGTGAAAAGAGAGGGGGTGGTGAATAGGGTGGGGTGGTAAAAAGGGAGGGATAATGAATAGGGAGGGGTGGTGAATAGGTAGGTGTGGTGAACAGGTGAAAGGGGAGGGATGATGAACAGGTAAACAGGGGGAGATGGTAAACAGGGAAAGATGATAAGTACGGAAGAATGGGGTGGGAGCAGGGGAGAAAGGGGGTGGGGTGGAAAGGTACATAAAATAAATATCCCACACTTATCAAGCGTCACATGTTCCTCTCCTAATCACCAATTTTACACCTTTCACGTCCTCAGAAAAACAAAACAAAACAAAATAAAAACCAAGCAAAACAGCAAAAACAAACAAGCAAACAAAGAAAAAAAAAAGCAACCTAATCCCCGCCAAAAAGAGAAGAGTTCCTGAACCATGACGTGGCTACCAGTGATCGCTTCCATCCTCCTGACCGCACAAAGAGCGTGGTCCCAGCAGAGAGGCTTCCCCACGCTACAAGGCGGCCGTTTCCCGTCTGTCGTCAGCTTCCCCGGCCAGAGTTTCTCCTCGCCCACAGGCGTGGCGTCACTTTGGAACAACCCCCTGGCTATGAACCCCGCCCTCGGACTCGGAGGGCGCTCCAACTTTCTGTATAATGGCATGATGGGGAACGGTCTGGGCAGGGGAGGCTATCCTTATTCCATCTGGGGCGGCGGACCCCAGCGCCGGAACGTTTTCTACACGGCCATCGGATCTGACCCCCTGGATCCTAACAGGTAGG